ACGAAATTATGTGCGATGGGGACGGAAGTAACGTGTTCTCTTTTTGGAAAATTGCATTAGACGTGATTTAAATAAAAACTTCTAGAAAGTAAGCTAAAGAGGTTTTGTAATCGAGTCCATCGGACGACTGTTGCTTTCATGTTTTCTCGACGTTTCATGAACCCTTTTCAGTTTCAGATAAATATTCGAAATTACCGGACTGTTAATCTCATAGTTATGATCTGGTATTCGTACTAGTTTTAAACATAAACACACATCAGTATATCGAAAGTATACAACCAATAACACACGAAGACTATTTCGTTAAAAACAAATTTAACAATAATCTTTAAAAATTAATTTTAATGTAAAAAAATCTATGATTCAATTTTTCGATTCTTCGATTTCTCGATATACCCATTTTTGGAAAAACGTTTTATAATTATAATTTTTCAAAGAAGGGGGCTGGACTTGAGGGACGAGGGAAGTTCTGTCGATCAATTTTTCATGTGAAATAACCAATAATAGTGGCCAGGCGATCTGTATTCTAACCAACTGAAGATAGATATTTATTCCCAAAACAACCCTCATAAATAAAGACTGCTAAAAATTCGAGATAATCGTGATCCGCTTGATTAGTCATAATTTTATAACGCCGCCCCCGTATAAGGGATTTGGGTAAAATAAAATATTTAAAATTTCGTAGGCTCGAAAGACGAATTCTCTCCGAGACATCTCAAGAATGTGAGGGAAACGAGTGCTGCAATAAAATGGTTAGCATTGAATTTTCAATGACTTCATATTCGTCCACTCTTTCAGGACTACAAGCGGGGAAAATATAATTAAACTTCATTACTGATTCCTGGCAGACGTGAATGGAATTGGGTGCCGCTTTCACCAAATAAATTTCAAAAAAAGGGAATGAATTGAGAGTAATGACAAAGTAACGCCATGTTGTAGCTCATTTTTAACTAGATATGGAAAAGCGACCTGCGTGGGGGCTGTGTCCAAAAATTCAATCAAACATGGTGGGAATAAAGCCGGAGTTGAACTCTAAATTGGCTTTTTAATTCGCTCGTTTTGCTTTGTGTTTCTGTTTGTTGTTTTTGTTGATAAAATTTGAAAAATCGACTCACTCTCTATAACTAGAGACCCTAGATATACTTTGGAAAAGAGTTGTGACACGGACATTTTCTGTCTCTATCTTTATTACATGACGGTCAGTTATGAAATAGCTATAGTGATTGCTGTCTTTATCTAATTTAGTGATTTAGTTTCAAAAACTTCAAAAGAAATTTATAGGTTAAGTTACATTTTCAAGCAGTGGCGTAGTGCTTCAAATAGTTTCTTTGAAATTTTGTTAACAGTACTGACACTGACAGTACCTTATACATATTTAAGAAGAAGTGTTATGCGGTTAAGTACTTCTTACAATTTGCAACCGGCATCGCTGGTAAAACAGAAAAATACGGAATACCTAATCATACTGATTTACACTTTATAAGATTAAGTACATCACAATTTGCAGTTAAGTGTAAACACCATTCTGTACTTAGGTACTATCGTTGTTCCTAGCTAAAATTTGGAGAGTGTATCACATTGTCAGTATCTATTTGCAAGCTCGTCTTCCTATAAACCAGTAGATGTTCACTCGTATTTACCTCCGGTTATATTGAGTCGTGTTTCTGAAGAAGATGTTTTCAACTTTTTACGTAGACTTGCAAACAAGGAAACCTGTGGTGATGATATGTTGCCATCTTTTCTTATAAAAGACTGTAGATATGTATTTGCGCGTCCGTTGTCAAAAATTATTAATCTATCTCTGCAAACGTCAACATTTCCTGAAATATGGAAGAGAGCTCGTATCGTACCAGTTTTAAAAAGCGGCAATAGGTCGGATGTAAAGAACTACAGGCCAATTGCGATATTATCCATCTTTAGTAAAGTTTATGAACAAATTCTATATGAAGTTATTTATAACAAAATTAGATCTTACATCTCTCCTTTTCAACATGGCTTTATGTCTTCTAGATCTACAGTCACCAATTTGTCATGTATAACTCAAGACATCTGTAAATCTATTGATAGAAATACACAGATAGACGTCATCTATGTGGACTTCTCAAAAGCGTTTGACAGAATTGATCATGATATACTTCTGTCAAAACTAAGTGCATTTGGACTATGCCCGCAGCTTTTAAGATTAATGACATCCTATCTCTCAAACCGTTTAAATTATGTTCACTTTAATGGCTTCACATCTTACGAATATGAATCAAAATCTGGAGTCCCTCAAGGATCAAACCTAGGGCCCCTTCTTTTCAACATATTTATTAATGACTTGGTTATTTCATTTACGTGTAAGACTTTAGCCTATGCAGATGATCTTAAGCTCTTTCATTCAATTGTCCATGATGAAGACATGTTATTGCTACAAGAGAACGTTAACATACTGTTTAACTGGTGTATCCAGAACAAACTTCCTCTTAATTATGACAAATGCTGCTTTGTGTCATACACAAGAAAAATCCACCTAATTAACACACATTATGTACTTAACCACTATCAGTTAGAATGTAAAGAGACGATAAAAGACCTTGGTGTAATTTTTGACAAAAAGCTTACATTTACCAGTCACATTGATATGATTTGCAGATCAGCCAACAAATTACTTGGTTTTATTATGAGAACCTCTAAAACATTTCATGACAGTAACGTGATAAAAAGTTTGTATTATGCATTGGTTCTAAGCAAAATAGAGTATGCTTGTGTAGTCTGGTCTCCACTATATCACTGTTACGAACTTCAGTTGGAAAGGATTCAGAAAACTCTTCTTAAATACATATCATTTAAGACTAATGGAGTTTATCCTGGAAGAGGTACGGATTACACACTTTTGTTAGAAAAACATTCCTTTACATCACTGACAAAAAGACGTAATCAACAAGCAGTGAAATTTTTTTGCAAACTTCTTTCCAATTCTATTGATTGTCAAGACTTGTTAGGCGAAGTCTTCTTTTTAGTGCCAAGAATGGGTTCCCGTTTCTCAGTAAGCTTTTTTGTACCTAGGCCAAGGACCAACGTTCTCAGGAACTCCCCTGTTAGCAGAATGTCGCACCTTGCTAATTGTATTTAACTAGAGCATTTCACTACTGTTTTTCATTTTTCATTTTGTATGTAATACTATGTATTGTATTATAATATATTATATATTTTTAGTTTTAGTTTTAGTTTAATAGCTTTAATTACGCTATTGTTCATTCATAGTAATTTATGTTGTCCTGTAATTGGAGTACTTCTGTTGGGCAATAAAGTTTATTATTATTATTATTACTAATCGTTTTGCTTCTGGTCAAAACAACATTTTGTAATTTAACGAACGACACCGTGGTAAGAAATTTGAAGCATGTTTAGTAGGTTCTCTATCTACTATTCTATGATAAACAGTGTTTTTACAACGTCCTCACATTTCCATCATGAATATTTGCTCTGATATGTAGAATAATCTCAGTAGAAATATATAGATTCATGTACCTCTATATTAAATAAAACTTACAAGTTAAAATTTGTTACTTCTTTTAATTAAAATAACAATGAAAAAAAAATACAAAAACAAGCATGGTCATCGAATTTCTGTAACTCGAAATAATTAAGAAATGTTCCACAAACAATTAATTAAATTACCGAAGAATACATGAGGTTGGATTGAACATTTTTATATAAAGGTGGAGCGTTAGCAGCAAAATCAACATTCCTACTTTTGTTATTTGGGTTAACTATTGAATTTTGGAACTGCGTTTTTGTACTTTTGATTTTAATTTCTTTTGCAATTCTAGATAATGTGTCTCCAGTGTGGAATTCCCAGTAAAATAATAACATACGATTTGCTTCCATCGTAAGCTACACCTCCTAACATAAAAAACAAAACATAGGTAGTGACTTCATTTAAATTTGTTAATGTTGTTTCCCAAAAGTAATGAGGAACGTCGACAGTACTCTTTATCTGGATTGATTGCTGCTTCGCCTAAAAATAAACAATAATCTCTTTCCTAATCATTAAAATTTTGAATTTTGATTGTTAAATAGGTAAAAATTTCATGTAAAATTCCTGGTAAAAACGGTATGTGCTGAATTGAAAATTTATATTCAAAAGATATAGTTATGTCCTGATGTTCCACAGACAGATTTTTGTTTTAATGACTTCTTCTATTGTTTTATTGTTCCAGCGTTTTGGTAGTTTACATTTCACACTTAAATTTTGAATTTGCTTTTCGTTGAGAATCCCTTTTATAGTTCTGTTTTATGCATCGTCCTTAGTTTTGTAATTTATTACTTGCCATTCTAAACTTGAAATTTTTGCTTTCAAAACATTAATTTCTTTTTCAGCACCCCGCCTTATTTTTTCTTGTAACTTTTTTCATTTGCAGTTTTTTGATGAAGTTGTCTTTTTCGAAAATAGTCTGCTGAACTTCATCAATAACATTTTTTTTGCCAAGAACCGGTCATTTTGACGTAAATTCAGCCACATTATAAATTGTTGGAATTGCGTTCTCACATATTTTGCATTCACTTGAAATATAAAATTCTCTTTTTTGAAGTGAACCTGTTGACCAAGGATTAGATGGAAAATACAATTTCGGACAACGACCTCGCAAATGTAAGCCCATTTGCCAATTTTCCAAGATGGATATTGCATCTGTTCTTTCCATTTGTTAAGTAATATCTTGTTTTCGGGGCCTTTAAACAATGAGAAAATATTTGCTTCTGTATTTCTACAGTTTCGTACACAACAGACGACGACTATTCTCTTCCACGTCTATGTACTAAATGACAATTACAAACTGTCAAAACATGACTCAAAAAAGGCATCCGTAGCCAGCATAGTAAAATAAAATTTACCATTAATTTTGACGTTTCGTGTCACAACTCTTTTCCAAAGTATATCTAGGGTCTCTATCTATAACAGTTCATATCAAGACACTCTACATCTCAACTGCAAACGTCAAACTCCATTTGTCAAAAATGCCACGACTTATCACCCCCAGCACCCTCCTAACCTTCTCCCACTCTCTCCGCCGCCCCTACGCCACCGAGGCCGTCTTCAAAACCTCCCCCTACCGCCTCCACCGCCTCGACGCCGGCCCCGCTCCCGAAGTCACCCTGAAGAAAGACGACGCCCTCGTCCTCTACGAGCGCATGGCCACGATCCGCCGCATGGAGAACGAAATCAACAAGCTCTACAAATCCCGAGTGGTGGTGGGATTTTGCCACCTGTACTCCGGCCAGGAGGCCGTCGCCGTGGGCTTCTTCGCCAACCTCCGCCCCCACGACACCGCCATCACCACCTACCGCAGCCACGCTTGGGCCTATCTCTTCCACGGCTTGACCACCCACAGCGTCATCGCCGAGGTCTCCGGGGTCCAGTCCGGCAGCAGCCGGGGCAAAGGAGGCTCCATGCACATCTTCGGCAAGAACTTCTACGGAGGCCAAGCCATCGTGGGGGCGCACGTCCCCATAGGAGTAGGAGTCGCCCTAGCCCACAAGTACCGCAGCAACGGCGCCGTGAGTGTGACCATCATGGGGGACGGCGCCACCAACTCGGGACAAGTCGGGGAGGCCTACAACATGGCGAAGCTGTGGGACCTCCCGTGTCTTTTCTTGGTGGAGAACAACCACTACAGTATGGGCACGAGCGTGCCGCGCTCCACCCCCAACCCGGACTTCTACAAAAAAGGGGACATGATGCCGGGGGTGTGGATGGACGGGATGGACGTGGTGTCGGTGAAAGAAGGGGCGCGGTTCTGCATGGAGTACGTGACGGCGGGGAAGGGCCCCATCTTGGCGGAGGCCAACACGTACAGGTACTTCGGGCACTCGCTGTCGGACCCGGGGACGACCTACAGGACGAGGGAGGAAGTGCACAAGGTCCGGGAGACGCAGGACCCGCTGACCATCTTCAAGACGAAAATTATGGAGGCGGCGCTGGTAACGGAGGCCGAGCTGAAAGTGGTGGACGACAAGATAAAGGCGCACGTTAAGGAGGGACTGCAGAAGGCGAAAAAGGACAAGAAGCCGCCGGCCGAGGAGTTGACATACGATATTTACGCGAATGAGGTCATCAAGGAGGTGAGGGGAGTGAGTCCGTTCAAGCCGAAGGTACACAAGTCAACGGGGCAGGCCTACAACCTGAAGTAACGAAGAAGTGGATTTCAGTTCTAGAATATTTTTGGGGGTATTTGTGTGAATTTTTATTGTTCATTCATATAATAGTAATAACAATAGATGTGTTACCAATTAGTAATTCGCACTTAATAATTAATAATATAAGCGTATATCAATTATAATTATTCATTCATTTCAAAGCACTTTCAAATTCGTTTCAAGCAGGAATACCTAAAACCTCAAGATTGTTTTAGATTTTTCAAAAAAAAAAACGAGTTCCCAAAATTAACTCAAAAACAGGTCAGGTCAGAATTTTCCAAAAATAGAAAATCAAAGTCCCCCAAAATTGTTTACACCGTGGGTACCCAAGAGTCTCCCGTATTAAAAAAAAACACTGCGGCATTCAAAACTTTTTCAAATTCATAAAATATATAACACTAAAAGCTCAAAAGATTTTTTCAAGTTCATCCATCAACAAAACACAATCCTGGACTCTGGAGAAACGGTTCGAGGTTTTTTTTTTTGAAAAAGTTGCCTAAAAATTCTTAAAAAATTCAAGGATGTAGATCACGATATGCTGTTTCCAAAAATGTAGCGTATTTATGAGCACGGAACCATAAGTTCGAAATATCCGGCGTGGCATTCGAATTTTTTTCAATTTTCTCAAAATTGCTATATTTTAATGGGCGATTCTGGAAAAACGGTTCGACTTATCGAAGAAATTAGACCGGAAGTGACTTCTGCAGTCCTAAATCTACAAGAAAATGTGCTAAGTTAAATTTCGAAAATGAACGAAAATCGGTCGAAATTTGCACTAGATGGGAATTATTTTTGAAAAAGTTGTCTAAAAATTGTGAAAAAATTCAGGAACGTAGATCTCGACATGCTAATTCCAAAAATATAGTGTGTTGATGGTTACGGAGCAAAATTTTCGAAAGAACCGGTAGGAAATGCGAATTTTTCAAAATTTCTAAAAATGTCGATATTTCAACGGTCAATTGTGAAAAAACGGTTGCACTTATCAAAGAAACGATGCCGGAAGCCGGAAAAAGAGGAATGGATGAAGGCCGAAGGATCAAGGACGAAGGACGAAGAATCGAGGACGAAGGATCAAGGACGATGGGTCAAGGACGAAGAATCAAGGACGAAGGATCAAGGACGAAGGACAAACGACGAAGAATCAAGGACGAAGAATCAAGGACGATGGGTCAAGAACGAAGGATCAAGGACGAAGAACGAAGGACAAAGGATCAAGGACGAAAGACGAAGAACGAAGAATTAAAGACGAAAGACAAAGGACGAAGGTCGAAAGACGAAGAATCAAAAACAGAGGACGAAAAATCAAGAACGAAGGACGAAAGACGAAGGATCAAAAACTTCACTTTTAAAAAAGTTGTCTCAAAATTTTGAAAAAATTCAGGGACGTAGATCTCGACATGCTGATTTCAAAAGTATAGTATGTTGATGGTTACGGAGCAAAATTTTCGAAAGAATCGGTAGGAAATGCGAATTTTTGAAAATTTCTAAAAATTTCGATACTTCAACGGTTGATTCCGGAAAAACGGATGAAGTTATCAAAGAAACGAGATCCATAGTGAGTTCTACTCCCTAAGAAAAAAAAGGGTAGAGGGTATATCATTTGGCAAAGTCGATTTTATCTTAGCATGTACTAACCCCGCCCACCCACCCTCTCTTTTTTTAGAAGGTATGTCATGGGCCAAAATCAGTCTTTATCTTAGCAAGTACTAGCCCCGCCCACCCACCCTCTCTCTTTTTTAATTTATACATATTTGCCAAATATAAATTTTGGTGATTCTGATAGCATTGTTTTTATTTCAAATCCAATTCTCATATGAATGACGCGGGTTTAAGGATGATTATCGGACATTTTAGTTGAAATTTATAAATTGAAATCCGTAGAAAGTAAAATGGTAGGGGAGAGTGGGGGAATTGGAGCCATGTAAGGAAAAGTAAAAAAAAATACAGTTTCGGGTACAATCGCTGACCTTTATAGACACTAATCAGTCTTTTAGTTACCGGTCTTTCAATAATTGCTAAAGAACATAAAAAAAATACAACCTTACATAGGTAAAATCACGTTTTTTATAAATCTTACTTTTGCTCCCATTACCCCACGCATCGGGTAATGAGAGCCATGAAGTCTTCATATGTGTAATGAGAGCCATGAAATAACACTAAACAAAATAAAATCATATTTTTACCTATTAAAGAGGAACTTAAACAATAAAAAAATTTTAAGTAATCAACAAAACATAAAATAAAACATTTTCAATAAAAAAGTAATAACAAAAGGTATTTTAGGGATCTAAACAGAAATTGCAAAGATAATCTTTAGGGTGATCGCAACCTGAACACTCAGAATGGGCCCATTTGCCACAAGCTCTGCAACGATACCATAATTCTTCATCTTTACCAACATCGTTACAAATCATACATACATTTTCCTCCTCAGAGTATACAGAATCATCATCACAAATATTATTTTCATCGATAGATGATTCGTCAGAAGTGCTGTCTTGGAACAAATATTTAGTTACTGTTTATATTTTTTTGAGATAATTTATTCTTAACCTGTCTCTTATTCTTAGATTTATTTATTTGTATTTTCTTTGATTTATTCCTATTCATCACTCTTTTGTTCTTTTTCTCCTTCTCCTCAAAAACTTCCTTCATAGGGGTAATAAGAGCCATGGCGGGGTAATGGGAGCTTGAGTAGCTCCCATTACCCGGCAGTTAACCATCTCAAGCTAGCGACAATAACCCAAAAAACTTCGCTAAATAAGTTTGTCTTTCAATGTTATCATAAAATTGAACAAATAATCCATATAATAGACGCAAAATACGACAAAATAATTAAAGTTTAGGTACTCATTTTATTTCTGAGATTTTGCACTTTTTTGTAGTGAGATCACTCCAAACACACTTCTTCTTGTCATCACTGTGGGCGTGCTACTGGGCCGGCCGGCGGCCATCACGTGACATGAACGAATGTTTTCGAATTCATTCCTATCAATTTCGTGCGACTGATGCGTTCCAGTCTGTGTAAATTTTAGTGGCTCCTATTACCCGCTAGCTCCCATTCCCCCACTCTCCCCTACATTTCACCTCACATTTTTTTTCATCTATTTTAAGGCACTATCTATCATTTTTTAAGCAAGCACGCCAATTTTGACGTTATTTAATGAATTTTTTAACAGTTCATCCCATTTTGAGGTTATTGTTTAAAGAATTGTGGGTTTTTAAAGATTTTGATCATGATTCCTGCGGATCCATACAGAAATCGAAAATTGACCTGGTTCATTAAAAAAATGATAAGACTCTATAATAAATTAAATGTAATGAGAAACGTACCATTATTTTACTTACTACTAATTTGCCAATTTTTTTGGTATTATGTAATATATTTAATTTTATAGGATTAGTACATAGTCCTACAAGTGTGATTCATGAATCCGTGTTGACTTTTCACCTTTAGCATCCAGATTTTTGGAAAAAAAATCAACATTTTATAATACTATTTTACAATTTAACTTTGAAATTGCAAAAACCGAATGCTGTGAAATCATGCAAGTATTTTAAGATTGTTGATTGAACGTGCTAAAACTCCAAGTCCAAAAACAACATAATTTTTTCAAAACGCCAATGTCGACGGCAAAACTGAAAATAATACCCAAACAGCATCTGTATGCAATACCACAGGGCCGGGACTTTATAAATTTCCCGTTGGACTGCCATGTCCTGAATCCGACGCTGGTTATACTGTATACACATAATTGTTGAGAGATTTTTTCCCTTCAGCCTCCCGTAACGAATCGTATAGTTGAACTGAATCCATTAACTGCTCCGAGACCAAATTTCTCTGCCACTTTTGATTCTTCTTTTTCCAGCTCAAATCCACCCCGAGCGCTGCAACTGCACTAAAATGTCGTCCCACCATCAATACCCATTTCCTCGTGACACTCAAAACCGGCTATCGTTTATCTAAAAGCTGCAGCACAAAGCTTTGTCTAACCCTATCGCCTCTCTCCACAACCTCCAACCTCCACGAATATAAATATTTTACAACCGCGGGTTAAATTTCGACTTGGAACAAGTTTTAATCTCTAAATCTTCAAAAACTTCCTCCGCAACCCACTAGCGGCTAGTTCTCTGCAGTATCCTTGTCCCGAATCGATGCAGCGATTAAATTTAAATAATTGCGGACAATTAAATGTCTGCATTTTCAAGTGCAGCAAGTCGGCTTGCTGTATTTTACGGCAGTTTTAACACGTCGCACGTAATTACACCCCTGCGATGGTCTAACTGATAGCATCGTTACCAACTATTAGGGCACACGCGCCCTCAATTTTCGTTATAATTAAATGCGAGGGGGCGGGGAGATAAATAATGGACAACGGCTGGGTTAAACCGGGAGCTATTATTATCGTGTCGTTTATGGTCACGTTTAAATTGTGCGTTGTATGTATTAGATTATTATTACTAATAAAATAAAAAAAATAACAAAATCTAGCCGCTGCCTGTCAGTCCACCGAAATGTCAGCCTTCAAACTCCTCGCCTCGTTCCTCCCAAAGCTGCCTTTCCGTCCCTTCGCCTCCGAAGCCACCTTCAAGACCCAGCCCTACGTCCTCTACCGCCTGGAGGGCCCCCCCGCCCCCGCGGTGACCCTCAATCGCGCCGATGCACTCCGCTTCTTCGAGGAGATGGTGACGATCCATCAGATGGAAGCCACCCTCAACCACCTCTACAAGTCCAAGACGGTCCGCGGCTTCTGCCACCTGTACTCCGGTCAGGAGGCCGTGGCCGTGGGCACGTTCGCCGCGCTGCGCCCCCAGGACACCACCATCACCACGTACCGGTGTCACGGCTGGGGCTTCCTCTACTACCAGTCCGTGGACCCCATCATCGCCGAGTTGGTTGGGGTGCGCTCCGGGTGTGTGCGCGGCAAAGGCGGCTCTATGCACATCTACGGCAAGCACAAGGACTTTTACGGGGGCAGCGCCATCGTGGGGTCGCACGTCCCCGTAGGGGTGGGGATCGCGCTGGCCCACAAGTACCGCAACACGGATGCCGTGAGTCTGATCTGCTACGGGGACGGCGCCACCAACAACGGCAACGTACTGGAGGCCTACAACATGGCGAAGTTGTGGGAGCTGCCGTGTTTCTTCCTGTGCGAGAACAACATCTACGGGATGGGGACGAAGTTGGAGAGGACCACGAAGAATACCAACGTCTTCGCCAAAGGGGATTTTATTCCGGGGATTCGGGTGGATGGGATGGATGTGTTGTCGGTGAGGGAGGCGGCGCGGTTTGCGATCGAGCACATCCGGGCGGGGAAGGGCCCCATTATTGTGGAGGCGCAGAGTTATAGGTACTTCGGACACTCGCTGTCGGATCCTGGTACGACTTACAGGACGTACGACGAAATCAAGGAGGTTCGAACGACGAGGGATCCGATTACTACGTTCAACAAGAAAATTTTGGAGGCGGGGTTGGCTACCGAGGAGGAGTTGGCTGCAATAGAGAAGAAGGTGAAGGCTAGTGTGCGTGAAAGCGCGACGAAGGCGGAAGCTGACCACCCGGTGGATGTTGAGGAGCTGACGCACGATATTTATGCGAACGAGGTGATCAGTGAAGTTCGGGGAATTAATAAAGTGTGGAAGCACAAGTCGTCTGGGAGGGCTTGGAATCTGAAATAGTCACAAAATGTCAATGTTGTTGTATGTAATTGTGGTGTTGTAGGAATATAAGCAAAATAAATAATTAGAATTAAAACGCTTTGTTCAAATTTTATACTTTCTGGTGGAAATACTTTGAGACGAACACGTCGCTGTAGACGTAGGAGCGTCAAAATTTAAGTGACAAAATGTTATGATTTAACCTGTTGTTGTCATAATATTTCCACTCTAGACACAAAATAATGGAAACTTAAGATGAAATGAAGAGGTAGGTCACATCGAAAAATTTAAATTAAATTACAATTAAAAAAAATAAATAAACTGAATTATTTTTCTGCCTCTCACTGCGCTTCCCAAAAGGTCAGCTAGGTTGGTATGAAATTTTAGGTTTTCAGCTTCTCAATTTTCAATTGTTCGATAATGTTCGACATTTCAGTTTTGGGCTTTTTCGATTTTTCGACTTTTCGATTATTTGACATTTCGATTTCTCGATTTTTCAGCTTTTCGATTCTTCAACTTTAACAAATTTTCAATTTTTCATCAATTTTTTTTAATTTGTAAATTTTTGATTTCTCGATTTTTCAATTTTTCGAATTTTTAAAGTTTAGAGTTTTCAATTTTTTGATGTTTTGATTTCTTTGTCTTTGGATTTTTCGACTTCTCGGTTTTAGATTTCTCGGTTTTTCAATTTTTCCCTTTTTACAATTTGTGATTTTTCAATTTTAAAACAAGTAATTAATAAAAGATTTAAAATTTTTCTATTTCTCGATTTATTGAGATTTTAACGTTTCGATTAGTCGATTTTTTTAGTTTTTCGATTTCTCGATTTTTCGGCTTTTCAAATGTTCAACTTCTCGGTTTTCCAATTTTCCGATTTTCCTATTTTTCGTCATTTCAATCTCGGAAATTTTCAATTTCCCGATTATTCAATTTTTGTATTTTTCAATTCTGTGATTTTTTTTAATTTTAGATGTTCCGATTTTTCAATTTCTTTTTTCTTATTTTTCGGTTTTTCAGTTTTCCAATATTTCGAATTTTCGATTTCTAGACACCTGGATATTTCGATTTTTTTAATTTTTCAGCTTTTACATTTTTCGACTTCTCTGTTTTTCAAGTTTTCAAATTTTCAATTTTTCAACATTTCAATTTTCGAAATTTTTCAACTTCTGGGATTTTCACGTTTTCAAATTTTTAAATTTTGGATTTTTCAATTTTTTGATGTTTCGATTTTTCGACTTCTCGGTTTTTCTATTTTTCCATTTTTACAAACTGTGATGTTTCAACTGTTCGGTCTATAAATTTTTCAATTTAAAATTTTTCCATTTCTCGATTTATCGAGGAGATTCAACGTTTGGATTATTCGATTGATCAATTTCCCAGTTTTTCAGTTTTTCGACTTTACGATTTCTCGATTTCCTGATGCTTCAATTTTTCGATTTATTGATTTTTCAGCTTTCCTATTTTTCAACTTAACAAATTTTCAGTTTTGGAGTTTTTCAATTTTTGATCGAATTTTTTAATTTCTAAATTTTTGATTTTTCGACTTTTAGATTTTTCGATTTTTGGATGTTTCAATTTTTCGATTTCCCAATTTTTCAATTTATCAACTTCTCGGTTTCCCAAATTTTCGATTTCCCAATTTTTGGTCATTTTAGTTTTGAAGTTTTTCAATTTCTCGATTTTTTCATTTTTCTAATCTTCAATTTTGTGAGTTTGTAAATTTTAGATTTTTCGATTTCTCGATTTTTTTTTTATTTTCCGGTTTTTCAATTTTTCAATTTATCGAATTCTCGGTTTCTAGACACTTGGATTCTTTGATTTTAAAATTTTTCCGCTTTTAGATTTTTTGATTTCTCTGTTTTTCAATTTTTCTTTCAAGTTTTCGAATTTTTCCATTTCAACATTTCAATTACTCGATTGTTCAATTTCCCAATTTTTTTTTCAACTTCTCGGTTTCCAGTTTTTCGATTTCCCAATTTTTCGTCACTTCAGTTATGGAATTTTTCTATTTCCCGATTTTTCAATTTTTCTATTTCTCGACTTCGCGATTTTTTAAATTTTAGATTTTTCGATTTCTCGATTTTTTTTTTCCTAGTTTTTAAATTTTTCGAAATTTCTATTTCTAGACACCTCGATTTTTCGATTCTCAAAATGTTTCGGCTTTTAGAGGTTTCGATTTCCTAATTTCTAGTTTTTTTAATTTTTTAGCATTTCAATTGTTCAATTTTACAATTTTTTTTTAATCGTACATTTTTTGATGTTTCCATTTCCCTATTTTTGAATTTTTTAATATTTCAGTCCTTCGTTTTTCAGATTTCTCAATATTTTGGTTTTTCGACTATTAAATTTTGCAATTTTTAAAATTTTTGGGTTTTTCTTATTTTCAGAATTTCGATTTTACAATTTTTTCAGTTTTTCTATTTTTAAAATGTTTTGAGTTCTAGAATTCTAGATTTATTGACATTCCGATTTTTCAATGTTTTGTTTGTTCGTTTTTTTGACATTTCAACTAATACTCATGGTACATACAACATTTTATATCTTATCATGTCTGCAGTTTTTGATTATTACAAAAAAAAAACGCCAACTTGGTTTTAGTATTATAAATTTTATTAGAGCTGTCGCCGTATCTACATATGCAACCAGCAATACACAAGGTAATAGTTGGTTTTTAGCTAATTGTACTTTCTGTTGACGTTGCAATGGTAATTATCCCCTGGGCAGTATTGGGCATTGTCTAGATATTTGTAACTAAATAAATTATCTATATAAATCTTTGGTTATCTATTATCTGTATATATTATAAAAAATTCTTTAAAAGTTTATTTATTAATTATGATTAATTTTTTTAATATCCACACAAATTAGTTTTGTAATCCAGTGTAAATGAATGCTACTGTAAAATGCTTATTTTTCAAATTTAACACAACAATTCTTTCTTCTGCACCTGTGGAGCGGGTGACTTTTTTGTATTGAAATTTGTATCTAGACTTTCAATTATTTACTTAGGCAGGGTGTATGTATTACTTCTAATAATTGCCGATTTTATATTTGTACACTCCGCTCTCTTAGGTTTTATATATTAATTTTTTATAGTATAATCTTATTTGTACTCTTTTTTTTGTCTGATATTGATGCAAACATGCTTTCTGTTGGAAATAAAACTTATTATTAAAAAAACTTAATATTTTAGGCTTTTTTTCGGAATTAGAATAAAGTAAAAAAAATCCTTACCAAAATTTAATTTATTTAGAAATAAATTACTTATGTTATTATTTCAAAATTTATAACAGAGATTTTGGAGAACTTCGATTATTTAGTTACCACCAAATAAAGAAACGATTTTCCGCACTTTTTGCACAGAAACATATTTAAATTAGTTCCCTGGATACAATGACAGCAATAAATCATTTTCGGGTCTGACAGTTTTACTACTCTGGTCCTTCTAATTACCTGACCGACAGTTGTCAGATCTGTGTAAAGTGGGTTGTCTAACTTTCTTGAAACTCAAATATTTTCTGACTGCAAAGGACCCTTAACAGCAGAAGCCAACCTCTTACACCAAGAAAAAATCATTTAGAGGGCAACATATTTGAAATATAATTCATAAAAATCTTAGAGGCCCCCTAGAGTCTTATTTTAGAATTTTCTCTAGAAATTCTCGTTAAAATACCTACTTCAGGTGCGAACGAACTTCTGTCCAACTAATTCCATACCGATTTTCTGTTTGATTCAAAGATTTTGTTTCTTCTTGTTAGTATTGGCCACGAGATTGCCAACTTTTTTATGCGGATATTTACTATTCTGACTGCATAGTCGCGAACTTTCAAAGAAAACAAATGGTTTATGTAAATTTCCGTCATATTTCAGACCTCCGTCGAGGGAAATTTTGTCGTTTCTCTCATTTTCCGATCATTTATCACGAAAAAAATTATTGTTTCTTCTTACTAGTTTTGTGCGCGATTACGCATATACACGAATTCGCTTTTTGAAAAAAGGAGCGTCCTGCATACATTAAACTGATTTTTTAAACGTTTGATGAAAATTCATGTATGCAAATTAAAAAGAAAAAAAAAAGAGAAACAAGGAAAATGAGTTATTCTTGTCCAAACGCTCAACTTATTCATAAATTAAGAGTAATTTCCGAACTCGGCAAAAATTTTTAAAAAAGTACTCGTTACTACTACATAAATAACTCTCCCTGCAAACATGCACCGTCACTTCCCCGTGATTTACGCCGCCCCCAGAATCGGCGGCTTGTGCTTCATTTCTTGCGCGATTCGATCCACCCCACAAGGTATATATGTAGAAGTGGTCGAAATAAAGCTCTCCTATTTGCATTCAAATCATAACGCTTGACAAATTTGGCACGATCCGGCAAAGTTCCACGCCAAAAACGAGCTAAAAGAATAGTGGCGTTATTTCGGCGAAGACTGAATGTCTGAGTTCCGAGCTCACTTTTAAAACATAACAAAGCACGTTTTAGTTTAATGCCGTTTAAAAGTTTTAGCGGTTGAAATCCTATTATTTATTCTGAAAAGCGCTTCAACTTTTATAATGTTATTATTTTTAAATTCGCGTTTCCTTTCCTTTCACAGTCCTCGAGTTGAACTAATGGCCTTTTGCGCACTATCGACGAAAAGGAGCTCGTTGTTGGGGTGCTTAATTAATACGGGTTTTTTGTTTTTTGGGGGCGGCGGCGGTTTGAAGAGAGTTGAAATTGAAATTATTCGGTTGGGGGGTTTAGTTTTCGGGGTGGAATTTGTTTCGGACGAACACTAACACAATTTGTTAGCGGCGGTGTTAAAGTTCGACACATTGTGGCCATTTATCATACTATATTGTGTTATAAATTGCGGACACGTGGAGTTTTTTCTCCGGAAAGAAGAGGATAAACATGGTTAGATTTGTACTAAATAAAGTCTTGAGGGAGGGTCGGTAAGGCGGTAAATGACGAAGGGAAAGTTCATTGGCACACTCTGTGCGTTGTTAAAATGTAAGTACTTGTCAAAAATTTAATTCGAAAACGGTTGTAAATCAACCTTTTCAGGAAAGTCCGAACGTTCTCAAACACTAATCACCGGCTTAGCCAAATGGTCAATCATTTTGGGACGCTAGGTAGATTTGTTGTGGACGTCGAAGAGAGTCGTTAAATTCCAGGAAAAGACGGGGTTTAACTTTCCCCCAAAATCTGTTACCTGTAACGACTTTCATGTCCTCATTGGAGTTTATTTTTAATAATTGTAATGCTGCTTCACAACAACCAAGAAACTTGAAAATTTATTGGGCTTGTTTTTCTGAATTCATTAAATAATGTGTCATAATTTAATCACATATATCGCGCCACTGTGTATGATTCGAACGCATTCTGTTACGAAAACACACTTGTTTACATTTGGCCTGGAGGGTCGTGCTTGCGTTCTTAGGAATTCACTTGGAATTTTTTTGCAAAAAATGAAATTTTAGAAACATTAAGCGAGCCGGAAAAGTAATATCAAGAATTTTCTTGTCTTGTTTCACTTCCTTTGCAACGTTTCGATGATAAAATATCAACATCAAGTTTTCCATAAATTTTGTTAAAAAATTGGCACGGACTTGCTTTGCAAAACATAAAAGTCATCCGTCTCCTGAGAAATTAAAAATTCGAAAAATTAAAATATAGAAAAATTAAAAACTTCCTAAAACTGAAATGTTGAAAAATTAAGAAATCGAAAACTGACGAATCAAAAACCTGAAAACTCAAAAATTTAAAAATAGAGAAATATCGAAGGAATGAAAACCTTTAAAAAATTGAATACTTAAAATATTGAAAAATTGAAGAATCAAAAAATTGAAAAATCAGTAAATTGAGGAAAATCAAAAAATGAAAAATATTAAAAATCAAAATACTGAAATAACAAAACCCTTAAAGTCGCAAAATAGAAAAGTTTGAAACTGATAAATTGAAAAACTTTAAATTAAAAAAAGTACTCTGAAAGATAATTAAAAAAATCGAAATATTGAACAACTGAGAAAACCTCGAAAAAATCTAAAATTATCAAATCCAAAGAATTGAAAAACAGAAAAATCGAATAATTGAAAAATTGAAATATCGAAAAATTGAACAACCGAGAAAATTAAAAATCGAGAAATGGAACAATTGACAAATTAAATAATCGAAAAATTGGAGCATTGAAACACTGAAAAATTGAGCAATCGAATAATCGAAAAGTCGAAAAATCGAGAAATGGGAATATCAAAAAATCGAAAAATCTTAGAATTCTAAAATTTAAAAATCAAAATAAGAAAAAATCTAGAAATCGAGAAGTCGAAAAATTGAAGGATTGGATCATCCAAAAACTGACACATCTAAAAATTTAAAGATCGAAGAAAAACTGAATACTCGATAAATTTAAAAATCGCAAAATTTTTCGCTTTTATCATTTAAATTCCACGAAAAGAATTTAAATGATAAAAGCTCTACAACTAAGGACATTATTTTACTACCACAAAAGTCGTTACAAGTACATTATCCTTTTCCGCCCATCTACCTGTAGACCTGTACCCAAACTAAGAAGTTAATCCTTTCCATGAATTCATTATCTAAGTACCTCCCCCATCCCCCATAAAAGGTCTTCCCGACCACCACAAAAATCAGTTCTTAGTTGACTTTCGTACCGAAAACTCCAAGTTCCGAAAATGTCCAAGTGTCGCAAAATCGCCGTCCTCGGCTCCAGCTTAGTGGGAAAATCAGCCCTGACGTACCAACTCATGGAGAAGATGTTCATAAAAGAATACAATCCAACGATCGAGAGCACGTACAGAACAACCTTCACATACAACTCCCAGGAGTACGAGCTGGTGGTAACCGACACCGCCGGCCAAGACGAGTTTTCCATATTCCCGGCGCAGTACCTCATCGACGTCCACGGCTACGTCCTCGTCTACGATATCCTGAATAAGAAGTCGTTCGAGGTGATCTCCACGCTCCACGACCGCTTGATAAACATCACGGGCAACGCCAACGTCCCCCTGGTCTTGGTGGGAAACAAAGTCGATCTAGATGAGTTCCGGGAGGTTTCGTTCGAAGACGGAAAAACGTTGGCCGCGAAATGGAACGTGACGTTTCTGGAGACGTCGGCGAAAAATGGTGACGATGCCAAGAAAATTTTCAACGCGTTATTAAGGGAGATCGAGAGGATCAATGGAAATGTGTCGCGAGATGGATGTGTTATGTGTTAGATTTGTGGAGTTGAAGATGTTTATGTGATGAGCTTTAATGAAGAAGTCACGGTTTGTGGCAGAGAATCGATTGGTACTAATTATATGAGGATGGTTATAAATGTCTGAATTGTAAATATTTTACCTTGAAAATTGTTGTTAAAGGAGGTATTTTTTCATGTTTGTATCGTTGTATATATTAATAAATATTTTGAACTTCCCTCGTTCCTGAAGTAAAGTACAAGAAATCCAACTTTTTTGGATTGACTGATAAGATTTGAAGAAAATAAAAATATGTACGTAATATGAAAGTAAAAGCATTGTTTAAGTATATTATAGTTGGACAACCAATACAAATTTTACTTCGCCTAAATAGTGAGCTTTAGGACAAGGAATCCAGGGGGCGTGGGACAAATTTTTCGTCAACGCGCATTTTCACTACAGTGAGCCAACGTATTAGGTTTATTTTACTCTAAATCAGATGGCGCCATCAAACATTAGCAAAGGCAAACACCCTTTACTCTGCTCTTATACGAGGAGTTATCCATAAATCCATAATTAACATTGTTCCGTAAACAGTAATGTGTATAAACATATATGTACAAAATATGAAAATATACTTGACATAAAAAATATGAAGCAACGCGTTGTAACGTGATAAGAAAGAATTGAATTTAAATGAATTTGACGCATATTTTTATTTGACTATATCTGAAGACTGACAGAAACTTTCCAAGGGTTTTTAAACTGGTATAATTGTTTAGTTTTACAAGATTAAAGTAAAATAAGATTTTAAGTAAAATTTAGATTCGTGGTGTTACAAAAATATTAACACAAAATGAAAATATATGTTCAAAGTAAGTAACAGAATGACATAAACTTTCGGCGTTAACATTACAAATAATTACAAGAGAGAAAAAAACGCATAAACAACTTAAGAGGCATGTTTGTAATATCGAGTTGTTAAAGGCTGCTTTGAAGACTGTTTGTTTCTATGAAAAACAATTGCTGTTATCGGACATTTTGGTAGATTTTGTTCCAAAAATCCGAGATAACTAATTGTTTCTTGAACTAGTTTCCGTAACTTCTAAAATTTAAAAAGGATACGCCGTTCTGCTGTAATAAAATCTAGAATAAGGTCAAAATCACACTAATATTACATCTGATTTTGTTAACCACATGAATATAATTTACATTAAAATAAGTTACAGACATTGTTTGAAATGTTTATTATAGTTCGAAAACAAGATTAAATAAATAAATAAATAAAAAAAATGTGCAGTTTATAAACTTCAGAATTTTAGTATAAAAATACTCATGTTTGAAGCTTTATTTTGTCTGTTCCATTTTATTGGGTGTATTGGGCCCCTCTCGGGATATAACACCGACATCAGTGCACCGACCCAACGTTCTTCAACCGATGGGATGATTTATTACTTCCGTTATGCTGGCCCTACACACAGCGATTTGGTTTTCGGATTTTCGGCTAGATCTGCACAGTTAACTCTTTGCGCACTGCACACTGACATAGAGTATTTTGTTCACGCGAGCATCAAAAACATTACGCCGAAAGCACTTCTTCAAGTGTTATTTTTTTTAAGATGTCATATTTGTCAGCGTTTCCAAAATTTTCTTCTTTGCACAGGTCAACTAATTTTTCGTAAACCGCATTTTAAAATTTTTGTTATTTTATTTTTTACTTTTTAATTTTCTAAGGCATGAAAAAATCCCTTATAGGTTTCTATGAATTTATTAACGAAATCAACTCATAACTTGCGCGCCATTTTGTGTTAATTAATACCAGTAGTGATTATGATAATTTTATAATTATCATTTTAATGAAATTGTGTTCTTCACTTCGCGAACGACAGCAAACAATTTAAAATTACCGCTAGTCAAGCACCTGAAAATCCATTTCTCCCAAATATGTCTTTCTTGACACGATTTGTAATCCGAAGTGTCCCTCCACATGCAATTTTTCGTCGCCTGAGAACTTGTTTGATCTACAAACCAAAGCACACTCAGGCCAATATCGGCTTTAAGCGATTTATCTATAAACCGATATTCGTTAGAGTTGATCTGATACACATCCACTACGAAGAACTAACCCATTTCGACCATTGGACTTTACAACGAATAAGTGAACAAAGTTCTTGAACATCTTAACGATTTAATACATAATATTCCCGAATGACAAAATTTACATTTCAAATTGTATTATCAAATTACACCCTCCAAAATTTGTCTCGAACAATGAACAATGAAATGACGCAATGTCCAAATTTTACAATAGTAAAATTGTAGTTTGGCCCCGTTTACGGTTTATGCATCCGTGTCGAGTTTTCACCTTAGACGTCAAGATTTTTGGAAAAAAAATCAACATTTTCCAATTTATAATGTTATGTATTTAAATTTTAAAAAGTAGAATAGTCCTGATCTTGTGATTTATACCTAAATACGCTATTGGAATTTTTCGGCTTGTCGATTTCTCGATTTCTCAACTTTAAATGTCCCAATTTTTCAATATTTCAATTTTGGGCTTTTCCGATTCCCCCATTCCTTAAATTTTCTATTTCTCGATTTTTTTATTTTTCGATTTCTCAATCTTACGATGTTTCAATGATACGATTTCTCAATTTTTGTCCTCTTCAATTTTACGGTTTTTAAATATTTCGATTTTTCAATTTTTCAAATTTTCACGTTTCTAAATTTTCAGTTTGCCGATTTCTAAAGTATTTTTTTATTTGTCCATTTCTGGATTTCCTAAAGTTTCGATTTTTCATATCTTCAATTCCTCAATTTTTCGATTTTTTAAGATTACGATTTTTCAATTTTGCTTTTTTAGATTTTCGATTTCTCAATTTTCCAATTTTTTAATTTCTCAATTTTTTTAATATTTCTTTCAGTTATGAAATTTTTCAATATTTCAATTTTTCGACTTTTCGATTTTTGAATTGATGGATTTTTTTTTGATTTCTCGCTTTTTCCTTTTTGGATTTTCATTTATTGTAAACTTTAGATTTTTCCATTCTGGGACTGTTTAATGCTTCGATTTCTCAATTTTTAAACTTTTCGATGTTTTAATATTTCATTTTTTAAAATTCTAGGTTTTTCGATATCTCGAGTTTTCAGTTCTTCTATATTTCAATTTTTCATTTTTCGATTTTTTGAATTTTAATTTTTGATTTTCCAGTTTTTCTTTTTTAAAATTTTTCGATTATTCAATTTTTTAATTTCTCAATTTATCGAATTCAGATGTTTCGTTGTTTTGATTGTTCGATTTCTCAATTTTTCAATTTTTAACTTTCCTTTTCGGCTTCCGACTCCTCAATTTCTCGATCCTCCGATTTTTCGATTTCTCGAAGTCTCAGTTTTTGAATTTTTCGATGTTTCGATTTTTGGATTTCTCGGTTTTTCAATTTTTTTCTTTTGAGCTTTTCAATTTCTGGATTTTCCAATTTTTCAATGCCTCGATTTTTCAATTTTTCAAATTGAATTGGATCTCTCGATTCTTCAATTTTGCGATATTTTAATTATTCATTGTTTTAAATTTTAGTTTTTTCGATTTCTCGATTTTTTGACTTTTCAGTTCTTCAGTATTTAAATTTTTGAATTTTTCAAATTTTTGCGTTAAATTTTCAGTTTTCTGATTTCTCAATTAATCTATTTTTGATTTTCCCACTTCTCAAAGTTTCGATTTTTCAGTTCTTCAATTCTTCGATTTTTCGACTTCGCTTTATTGGTTTGTCGATTTCTCAATTTTTGGATATTTCTTTCAGTTTTGATATTTTTCAATACTTTGATTCTTTCATTTTTCGACTTCTAGATTTTTCTATTTTTTATTTTTGGATTTTCAGTTTTTTGTTTTTTATTTTAGTTTCTCAATTTTTCAACTTTTTCATATTTTAATTTTTAAATTTCTAGATTTTTCAGTTTCTCGAGTTTCCAGTTCTATATTTTAATTTTTTAAATTTACGAATGTTGAAATTTTTTGAGATCTCAATTCATTGAGATTCGAATGTTTCGATGTTTTGATTATTCAATCTCGCTTTATCAATTTTTTCCATATTTAAGTTTTCGATTTTTCGATTTTGGCCTACTTCGGTTTCTTAATTTTTTGATTTTTCGACTTCTCGATTTTTCGACTCCTCGATTTTTTTTGTCTTTTGATTTTTCGATTTCTCGATGTCTCAATTTTTGAATTTTACAATGTTTCGATTTTTCGATTTGTTGGTTTTTCGATTTTTTGCTCCTCGGTTTCTCGATTTTTCGATGTTTCGATTTTTGATTTATCCGATATTTCAATTTTCCAATTTTTTAAATTTTCGACTTCTCGATTCGTTGATTTTTCAGTTTTTCGATTTTTAAATTTTAGATTTTCGAATTTTTATTTTTTTGAATTTTTGATGTTTGGATTTCTCCATTTTTCAGTTTTAGGATATTTTAACTTTTCAGTGTTTTAAATTTTAGATTTTTCGATTTTTTAGTTCTTCAATATTTTTTTATTTTTCAAATTTTGACGTTTCTGAATTTTTAGTTTTTGGATTTCTCAATTAATCTATTTTTTTATATTCCCATTTTTCCACTTCCTAAAGTTTCGATTTTTCAGTTCTTCAGTTCTTCAATTTTTCGATTATTCAGGTTTTTGATTTTTCAATTTTTCGATTTTTTTAAGTTTGCGATTTTTAGACTCTGCTTTTTTGACTTTTTTGTTTCTCAATTTTTTAATTTCCTAATTTTGTGATATTTCGTTCAATTTTGTGATTTTTCAGTTTTTCGATTTCTCAATTTTAACTTTTCAATTTTTGAAATTATTAATTTTTTTCGATTTTTTGAGTTTTCAGTTCTCTATATTTCAATTTTTCAATTTTTAAATTTTCGATTGTCCAATTTTTTTTTATTTTTTGATTTTCCAATTTTTCGATCTTTCGATTTTTTAATTAACCGATTGTTCAATTTCTCGATTTTTAAATTTTAGATTTTCCAATTTTTATTTTTTTGATTTTTTTATGTTTCGATTT